AATTAACACTGTTTGCACTTGATGCATTCTGTGCTTCTATTTTTGTTATGTTTACGATGGGATTTCTGCCCTTCTGCTGTGCTGCACCGAAAAGTACATGCCCCACGTTAACCAACAAAACAAAACAACAAAAAATGATGAAGAAGTTCATCTAGTCAAAGTACTACACAGGAATACCGCCGACAGAAGTGACAGTGATGTCTCTCCTCCCTCCTTATGTCCTCACGCCTGGTCCTATCACCCTCCCTCTTTCCGTCTTTTTGTTTCTCTGGTGAGCTCATTCGTCCGAGCTTATTTCCCAGGAGCCTCGGCTGATTGTGTGATTGCAATCATCCCACGCAGCTTCCATGGTGACAGGTGGAGTATTTTCCTGCTCTCTGTGCAAGTTTAACACCACATCTGATGACATAAGCACAATGTGGTGTGAAAGGACGTGTCCCTGTGTGTGTGTGTGTGTGTGAGCGGCGCACACACGCATGTGCACGTGCAGGTGCGCCTAATTTATCCAGCTGACTTCCGACCGCCTTCAAAAGCCACGAGTGTCAAGAGCAACGTGTTATCTCCGCGCCGTCGGGTTGGGTGTACAGTACGAGGGTTATTGCATCAGAAAATGAGAAATATCAACAGATACGTTTCAGTTATATGTCAATTTGTCAGCTTCCTCCCTTTTGGGGCGCCGGGTTTGTCGGTGAATGGAGGTTTTATGAGTGCTGTCGGTCTCTGTATCTTTCACAGCGTCCCTCTGAGGAGTGGAGAATGCCCTTGCTTGTGTAAAACCAATGTGTCAGAGCACTCCGTTTGAATGGCCTCCGAGAGATGTTTGATAGCGCTGTGTACCGTTTCACTCTGAAAAAAAAAAAGGGAAATCGCTTGGAATTTTTTTTACTCCGTGTCACACATACCTGACTATGCAGTAGAGTCAGGAACATATGACAAGTCCACCGCAGTGTAATTTACCATCCTGATGATTTATGTTTTTTCCCAATTATGAGAAAGGCAGCTGGTGCACACTGTGTGACAGCGAGTGACTAAATTATAGTGAATGTGTGGAGAAATGGCACCTGAAAACCTCAATTTCACACCACATAAAACTGTACATCAAGCAGCTAATTGCTACACTGACTATCTCCTCCAGCTTTTACCGTCAGAGACATCCAGCCCAGGACCGTATCACAGACACGTTGGTACCGACTTAATGTCTGATGTCACCCACTCTATATCCAGCTCTCCCGTTCAGACTGAGCCACTGCTGGTATCTACACTATGTAGCTTTTATTGAATCTGTCCACATTCGCCGACTGTGGAGTAAAGCCACTAATGAAGTGTCTCCATGTCACTTCAGCGCTGTTGTTTCCGTTTTTATACGTCCTTCACTTTTATCACAACCAACTCACTGCCTTTGTCCCGTTTCCATTGAAATTCTATTTCCTATTATTGGCTGGTATTTTCATGTCCACCCGTCTTCCCTTTTTAGTTTATTTATTTTTTTTACAACCATTGAAGCTTTACTCGTCAAATTCGTGCATCATCTCTCTCCTTCAGTCGTGTGATGCTGCATCTTGCTATTTCTTTTTTAATTCATCATAAGGATCACATCGCTGAGTGTGGCTTCTGTCACCCAGCAGTGAAAGATACATTTCTTTCATTTTGAGATGAATACAGTAAATAACTTAACCTTCATCCTACAGTAAGGATTGGCATATAATAATAATACTGCAGTTTGTGTCAGTTGCATAAGCAAAACATTCCCTTCACAGCATCAGAGTTCGGAAAGGATGTAGAGTTTACCTAAAAATAATGACTTTTACAATCACCACTTTAGTGATGTTACAACTTTCAACAGCAGTTAAGTCTACGGGTAATATTTGAAGACATATGATTAAATGTATTCATTCATAGCCTTATACCACATACCGTGTTCTGAATTGTATCATTTCCTGACTGAGATGTCTAATATTAACATCAATTCTATATTATTATTCAAGCACATTTTATTTGATAGTAAAATAACACTGATTTTCATTTTATTCACACTCTCATGTTCCTTCCTGTGTACTCTGTAACATACATGCGCCATTCACAGATGACGCATAAATTGCGCACATCGTTACACGCACGTAGAGAGAGGGAAACGAGTTATTTCAGTGATAAATCACACCATT